AATTGAGGAGGTATCATTTGATTACTTGAAGTGGCGTTGAACAAACCGCTGCAATGGTTCGTATGTCAGCTACATGCTAACGAATTACCGTTAAGGCATTTGTTCGAACATTTAGATGGACCTACCAATGGTCCATCTAAATGTTACCAAAAGGATTTTCTGGTCCGATCGGAAAATCATTGGTGGCATGTGAGAAGCTTCCCGTTGTCAAATACACACCCATAAACTGTATTCTACCGACAGGTTTAAATTCTGACGATTTAAGTACAGATCAAAAATATCTGTTTGACTTGTGCACCGCTGTCAGTGTTGGCGTTTGTCCTGTAGGCCTTTCACTTCGCAATCCCGGTGTTATCAATCATTCAAGATGGTTAACAACGGCTAATCGAATACTACGCCTGTATATAGCCACAAGATGCCCATCGGATGAACTGAAGACAATGGTTACCTTCATCGTAACAGTTTATGCACCAGCATGGTTTGAAATAAAAAATACTTCTTCATGTAAAGATGGCGCTCGACATGTCCATAATACAATACTGAAATCACGCTACCTCACAGACGAGCTGAAGAAAGTTGTTGATCCAGTAATTCAACGCAACGCATTTTTTACTCATCCAGAAAACCTGTTGCTTGCGATGCTTACCGACGAAAAATCAGAAATACGCAAGTTGGCTCTGAGACGTATAATGAAATCCAGGAAGCAGAAGCGCACAAGTTCAGTTAGATCTTTCTGTGTGCCAGTAATCAATTTTGAAGCTACCAGTTACATAGACATGATCAATTGGCAAAAAACTCCAATCACAGAGCCTCCAATCGTAATGGACATTGATGACGATACTTTTTTAACCATGATTCGGGAAGAAGATACACCAAGACTGGATTTCGCACGCTATCCTTGTCACACTCAGTCGGTGGAGAGGCATATTAAGCTAGTTACAGAAGCTTCCCAAGCGGTTTGCGGTCCAGAAAAACGCGACGGATTCATAAGAGCACGTTTGGAATCGAGATCAAAAATGCCAAAACTGGACACTAAAGCACAACATCATTTGTAGCTATAAAAACATGTTTGACTAGAGTTTTCATGTGTTTTTCTTTTCAAATATTTAGTTCTATTTACTTGTAACTTTCGTATAGACTGTTAAAAATGTATACTGCTACACAAATGTGTTGTCATATATAAACTTGAAATTTCAAAAAATATTGTTTTTTATTTGAAATATGCCTATAATTCAGGTCAATTGTGAAACCTCAAGATATGCTTTAAATCGTTTGATTGTTTGCCACATTACTAATTGCATATATCAGCAAATTTTTATAGCTATCCAACCAAGATATTCAGAAAAAAAATTTTTCACTCCACTCTAATATATATATATATATATATATATATATATATATATATATATATATATATATATATATATATATATATATATATATATATATATATATATATATATATATGTATATATATATATATATATATATATATATATATATATATATATATATATATATATCTTATTTATATATATATATATATATATATATATATATATATATATATATATATATATATATATATATATATATATATATATATATAAGAGAGAGAAAATTGTGTTGTATTCTGTTGAGTTTAATACTGCTCTATGTCGGTTTAAGAGTGATCGATATATATAAAATAGATCAAAATATGTTAAATATTCAAATGAAAAAAATATGACTTTTTTAAAGCTTCATGCCATTTGGCATTCAGCCATATATTTCAAATCATTAAAATAAAAATCGTTCTAAAAAATGCAAAATAGTGTTGCATTGAGATGAAACATCAGTTTTCATGCCAAGCTGGAATTTATTTAACATGTGTCAAAATTCGATAGCAAAAACTTTTTTCTGTGCCTATATGTTAAATCAATTCACTTTTTTTATTTAACAAAGGTTCTTTATTGTATGTCAAAATAAAATACTTATCATTTAGGCAAAGATTACACCTTTTTGAGGATGGGTTATAGGGTTCACATTTTTAAACAGTATTCCACTTAATTATCGTTTTAATGCCTGCTCCCTTAAGTTTCCAGATATCCTTAGAATGTTCAGTGTCATTTTTAAACCTGGCCAAGTTTAATGATTTTATGTGGTTTGCAAACCTGATCTTAAAGGAGTTTTTGCTAATACCAATATAAGATTTTTTAGCATGATTGACGTTAGGTAATGTTATACATATACATATATATATATATATATATATATATATATATATATATATATATATATATATATATATATATATATATATATATATATATATTTATTTATATATATATATTATATATATATATATATATATATATATATATATATATATATATATATATATATATATATATATATATATATATATATATATATATATATATATATATATATATATATATATATATATATAATATAAATTAATAAAAACACATACCTAATTTTTCTTCAACGACTTGTT